TATGCAGCACAAAAAGCGCTTATTAATTCTTACTATTGTTTTGGTCCTTTACTGGTCCCGTCTCTTTTGGCATCTCCTTCTGCTTGTTATACTGTTCCGGATTCACACTTTACTTTCATGGAGCGCTAAGAATAACAGGCAATTATTCAGATCAGGTTATATATGTACTATAGGTGTGCATAAACTCTGTATGTGGGCTAAACAACAAGGCAAATTGGGTGATCTGGGGTTCTTCTTCCCCTGCCAATACCCTCTCAGTCAGTATGATGTCAATACTTCCTGAGCGTTTCTGATAGAGGAAAATCAGGACATGCAACTTTGGGGGGCATGCACTTGAGGCAGCCAGGTCCCCCCAAAATGCTATTCTTTTGGAGCCACACTCTCATGGGAACCAAAATGGGACATACCGGGATCCAATCAGAAGCTGGGTGTCTTCTGTAATACCAGGATGTCCCACTCAAAGTGGGGCAGTTGACAGGTATGCCTGAGTCACACTAGGTCCCTTACAAAGCCTCTTCTCGCTCTATTCCAATATTTCTGTACTGCGTTATCACTCCACATGTGTCAAGCAGGTGCTTATATGCATAATGCTTCATTGCTGTGTTCTTTCCCTGACCAGTGCAGAATGGAAGTGGGGCAGAGTCTCCTTCAGTTATCAGACCTGGTGTTGCAGATCTTTCCCCCCTAAGCTGCTTCTCTCCTTAAGTCTAAGTTCTGCTCTAGTCATTATGATTCTTGGCTGTTACATTTTCTTCCCTAACTCACAAATGGCACTCTGATGCTGGGGAGAGCATCATTTTTTTGAAGGTTTCCCTCATATTTCTTTATAGAGAAGCGGCAGCAAAGATGGTCATAATATACCCTTCAGAAATATCCAAAAATCCCACAAAACTGAAGCACAGAAGACTGACTCCAGACAGTTCTTCACTTTATGATTTTGCCTTTGGAATTATATTTGAGCTCTTATTTTCTCAAGGCTAGTAGTGTGTGGCAGAATGTAAAGGAATGCATTGGAATGTAAAAGACATATGTAGTGTGTGTGTAAAAACTGCATTCACAAGCTTCAAGACAATTGGAGCTGATATCATATGCATGGGAAGAAACCACTGACAAGTTGCTAAGGAGATTTTAAATGGCAGAATATTGTGATAAGAAATGTTGGTTCCATTATTTCTGTTAATTTTTTCTGTTTTAATTGTTTGGATCCTAAGATCAGTAACAGAAGTTTACAAAAGGAAAGTTTTCTGTCCCTTTCTTATTCCCCTCTCAACATCTCTCCAGAGAGTTGATACTCTTCTGAACAATGTGGGACATGGGTTTATTTGAGAGTGGTTATTTCCCAAAACTGCAGAAGTACTTTACAAAACACCACAGTGATTTATGGAACTCATTTATGGAGCTTTCTCATTAGCTGTTAGTCATGACAACCAACACTTGCGCATTCTTGTGAAATACCTTCCCAGTGATGTTTGGTTGTACCTTTTAACCCTTTTCAATGGTTGAGTAATATAAACCAGAGGCTTGGTCCAGCTAGACAATTCTTGTTAATTGTTTTTTGTTTTGTAGTAAACTTCCACAGTGAAACTCAAAATGTTTACGATGTTTTGAAAAAATAATTATTTTTACATTTTGTGAGTCATTTGAAGAACTTTAAATCACATTCTTTCCAGTAGCTAATTTTACTAATTAACAATATGTATAAACTGAACCCAAACTCTTGTATTAGTGGCCTCATTACTTTTTTAAATTCAGCATAATTTACTATCTAATTATTGATACACTTGGTAGACAAATTACTCCAGATTTTAAGGCAATTGTTTGAACTTGAAATTGTTGATCATAAAATGTAATGATCAAAGCTGATTAACATGTAAAGCCATATCTGCAAAGCTGAATAAAAAGAACACCACTATAGCTGAAAAGACTGTGTCATTCTGAACTATTGTTTAGAACAAAATAGTATTTTCTTTGAAGATATTCCATTCTTTTTCTGTACTGGGCTTCATTTAGGTCACTTACCTTGGTCATAGATAAATGAAGATTTTACTTTAAACCACAATTCAGGAACATACAGCCCTCCAGATTTTGGTGGACTATAATCCCCACTTTTCCTGATCTGCGGCTATCTTGGATGGAGATGATGGGAGTTGGAGTCTCAACATTGTCAGGAGAGCTGCAAGTTGAACTCCCCCCCCACACACACTTTAAAGCATACCGCATGAAGATTAGCCAAAAATAATCTGAGTTTAGGCAAGCAGCCACAATGATGGTGTTTCGGTCCTTATTACAAATACATTTATGGTCCCTGGCATTTGTGGTTGCTTAATTCCAGTGGGTTTGTTATTATTTTAACTCTGCCCATAGTCATTAGCTGCATTCTTATTGGTACTGTGGCTTTAATGTTCGACAGTTATGTGTAAAGGTTGCTGCACACTGCCTTGAAACTCAATATACAGAGGTTTCAATCAATCAATCAATCAATCAATCAATCAATCAATCAGTGCTTTGCCAGTGTGCTAAGTTCATATGCTGTTGGCATAGTGGTGACTTGAGTTTGTGCCTTGTTCTCTGACTCAACAGCCTAACCTTCCCAGCCCCCTTCCCATAAGGTTGTTCCTGAAGGATCAGTACAAATGCCAATTCAGTCCAGTATTCTGATGTCACAGTGGCCAACCAGATACCTATGGGAAACCTACACGCAAGACATGATCAGGATCTACAGCCTAGATCTATGCCACTGTGTTTTCAGGTATATGCCTCACAGGGTTTGGACTGTCCCATGACCCTTGTTTTCAGATATCCCTATAGGCACACTGGGATGCAGCTTTCCACATTTCTGATTAGGTAGGGTAGCATATGGTTGGGAGTGTGAGAAACATCTCAGGAAAAAACAACACATCCGCCACCAGATGCCTCCTCTCCAAGATATCCCTTGGGCTAACGTTATAGGAAACCAGCCATTTATTTTTTATGTAGTCAATTTACAAATGTTCTTTCACTAACGTGAATCTCAGAGATGATCTGATTAAAAAGTAAAACTAAAAAAAATCACATTTTTTTCTATGCGATTTTGCCTAATATGGATATTTCTGCAAAAAACTCCTAAAAATTACACATTCCTGCCAAAACAATTTCCTCTAATATGTTGCATTGGTGTATGTTATTTTCACTGGTACATGCCTTTTTTTGCATACTTCATCCTATTATATACATTTTTGAACATGTTGCCCAGATGGAAAGCTCCATTGCAAAATTTCGGGAAGTGCAAAGTTCAAAGGATGGTTGTGTTGGTTCATGTATTGTTTCATAAGTGTGAATTGGGTAAGTTTGACATTAAATGTGAAATGAATCCAATTCCCCTCTCCCCAACCCTAGGTGAGAATCCAACAACTTCTGGGGGGCACGAGATCTCTGATCCTTCTATTATTAGCTGGAGTACCCTGCCTAAAGAACGCGGGTGGCGCTGTGGGTTAAACCACAGAGCCTAGGACTTGCCAATCAGAAGGTCGGTGGTTCGAATACCCATGATGGGGTGAGCTCCTGTTGCTCAGTCCCTGCTCCTGCCAACCTAGCAGTTTGAAAGCACGTCAAAGTGCAAGTAGATAAATGGGTACCGCTCTGGCGGGAAGGTAAACGGTGTTTCCGTGCACTGCTCTGGTTCACCAGAAGTGGCTTCGTCATGCTAGCCACATGACCTGGAAGCTGTACGCTGGCTCCCTTGGCCAATAAAGCGAGATGAGTACCACAACCCCAGAGTCGGCCACGACTGGACCTAATGGTCAGGGGTCCTGCCTAAATATACATTAGGCTAGAGTTAAAACATGCTTGAGAGTTATGGACAGTGTCATTGTGGGGCAAGTACTCCATATCCCTACTCTGCTTCCTCCCTCACTTTCTTTATTCTAACAAGTCTTCGAATCCCACTTATGTTCTTATCCAATGCATCTTTCATGACAATACTTTTTAACTGTCACTGCTTATGACAAATGAACATGGCACTTGCAACCTTGACATGACATAGAACAGGAAAAAAATTAAATCTTTAAATACCCTGCTGGTGTGTATATATATTGAAAATGAGACAGCAATGAATCAGTAGGCCTGTTAGAGAGCACACATCAGCAGATAAGCAGGGCTTATTTGCCAAGGCAAGAGAGCTGGTGATGTTTTGAAAGAATCTCTAACAAGGTTATGGTACTGTTCTTCCAGATCTATCTGTTTAGTTCATCTATTAGCTGCATGAGGAAATGACAAAATTCAGATTTAGCGACTTACCCTTTGAATTTTGATGAAAACTTCCTCCTGGATATGATCTTTTGCATTTATAATAGAGAATCACGATGTGCGCTAATAACGTTACCATTTCTCAAGCCTGTCATCACCATCAGAGGTTAATTATATCAGTGATGAAAATGAAAAGATATGAAAAGAGGGGGGAAAGTTTGTCATAATCACTGAATCTGAGAATATTGCCATGTGAGATTTCCTCTTTACAATCACAATGTACATTTCAAGCGTATTGTTCCTATAACAGTTTAATATGGGTGGAATTACATGAGATAGGATTTTAATATTAATCCGCCATGTATAATCTTTAAGTCATACATGACAGATGCTGGCTGTGGCGGGGAAAGCATGGATTCTTGTGCAGAGAAAGTAATCAATATGAGGGAAGGTGAAAAGAAGTTGATTTCAGCTTCTATTTTAAAACTTTGTCCTGAAACATTGGGGCAAAAGCTCAGCCTCCACAGCTGGTGGCAACAGTGCTTCCAAGTACCAGTTTCTGGAAACCTCAGGAAGGGAGAGTGTTCTTGTGATTGAATCCTGCTTTCAGGTTTATTATTTGAAAGAACATATGTGGTTGCAATCCTATGCATGGCAAGTGCTAACCTGAAAGTAAATACCACATCTGAATACATATGCTTTAGATCAAGCTGCACAAAACTAGGTGATGTACATTGATGAAAGCAGGTGTCTGGAACCTTTGACCCTACAGATGTTGCTGAACTATAACTATCATCACCTAGGGCTGATGGGAGTTGTAGTTCAGCAACATCTCAGCTAGGGCTGATGGGAGTTGTAGTTCAGAGACATTTGGAGGGTCAAATGTTCCCCACACCTGCATTAAGGTGAAGAGGGTCCTTCCCACAGACTCGCAGTCATTTTTTTGAGTTTCTTTTTTTAAAATCTCATGGTCATGTTGTGGATGATCCCCTAAATTGTAAGAAGTATTTCCACAATAGAATGCTCAACAGATGTTTTTACCTGGACACTGTTCAAACAATATCAAGCATTTGGATTCTGTCTTCATTTCCTTGTGTTTCAGGCCTGTGGAAGCGCAAACAGTAAAGTAATCTGATCTGTGTGCTGTCACCTGTTTCTGCATATAAATAATGTCCTCTGTGTTGTGGTGAATATTCTGTTATATTAAAAAGTCTTCTGAGCCAATAACATGACTATGGGAACTCGGCCCATATTAATAACAGATAAAAAAATACCTAGAATCTATCAAGTATTAGTTCATGGAGTGTTGGACCTTTTGGGACTGTGCTTAGATCAGTTCCTCAGCAGGATTTTTAAAGCATTTTAAGAGCTTTTCGACATTTACAAGTTGGAATGGATGCTCAGCACTGGGGGGGGGGAACCCAGCAGTAAAAGGTCCCCCCAAAAAAACTCTAATAGTAATGCAGGTAAAGATGCCATAAATATGGCTGAATATGAGCTTGTTCAGAGACTGATTTTATAGATACAGCTAGTGTACTAGCCTCAGAAAGGCATTATTCCTCTCTGTTGCTCTCCTGAGAAAGAAAATAGCATCAAATTTCATACAGTAATAGTTTTGCATGATTTGTTTCTGACCAGCTGTATTATTAAGCCAAGATGCCAGAGGTGGTGTGGATTGAGAAATGAAGTCTTTACATTCACATACATTCTTTACTGAAATTAACTGTAGTTAAGAACACAAAGAAACCTGCCTCCTCCCCCAAATCTTTCTTGAGCTAACGCAGTAATACTCTCACTTTGCTAATGATCCCCTCCCATGCCTTGCCTTCCTGTAGTTCTGCCTCGCTGTGACTTTCTTAAGTCCTACTCTCTGCCAGCACCTAACCTATAGCCTGATATTTTTGATCAAGTACAATCTAATGCCAAGGAAGCCTGGCAACAACAGTGACAACCTCTGCCCTGCTTAGCCACTGATATCCTCCTATATTCTGCATTTGAAGTCCAGCTTTGTGTAGGGTGACTAGATGCAAAAGAAGACAGGGTTGTTGCAACTTTAATACTTATGTACATTACTACTTATGTCAAAAAAAGCTACACCTGCAAAAATCTTCTCTGCTACACACCTTTTAAAGGTGCAGAATCCCCCCCCCCAACTTTGCATCTTCCCCTTCAGCTTGGTATCAGTATCTCCACCACTTCTTGGCCAAAACATTCTACTGGATGCTGCCCAAGGAGGTAGGAAGGGATCCATCCCTTCTAGCTATGCTAAAAGATGTCATTGCATAGGAAGCTGTGGGTTCAATACCAGAATTGGGTTCAGGTGCTGAAGGAAGTGGGTAAGCTGGAAGAAAGTGGGAGGTGGGAGGTGGGAACAGCTTCTTCCAGACGATTTTGTAGAGGCTGGGGAATCATTGTTGAACAGGAAGTGGGACAGAAAGAGCCCATAAGCATTATGTTATCCAGCATCTCATTTCCCCCCTCAAAGACATATAGCAAGGGTGGGAGATCTGTGGCCCTCCCGATGTTGTTTGATTCCACTCCCATCAGCCCTCCTAATAAATAAATAAAGCATGGCCAGTCTACCACCCCCAAAAAGTACTCCTAGGTGGCTATGCAATTTATTACCCATGTTCCAAAGACCGCAGTGTGTACACTTCCTCTCATATTCACATACCTGTGTAGTAAACTTCCTTTCAGTGTATGTTGCAATATAGCCTTCCTTTATCAAATACATTAATGGATGGTATGGGAGATTCATACCAAAAGTATTTAACATGAACAGCATTTTTTATGATTTAATACACTATGCCATCTCTGAGCCAAGAGAAGCAACTTCAGGAAACCAATGAAGCATTGATGGATTTTCAGCAGCCTTCTGTACATCAGTTTATTTTTAGCAATGCTTTATTGGCTGCCATGCGATCTAGTAATTTATGGCAGTGGTAGGAGATAGCATCATCTTGCTTGAACTCTTAATGCCTGAATAAAAGCAAATATCACTTTCTAGTTCCTTGTGGGAATGGTTAATGCAGGAGGGAGCTTAACCATTCCGATTTCATACTGCACATTTTGCTGCAAAATGACAACCAAATGTACTTAATCTACCCATCACGATGTGCTAGTATGCCTCATTGACATATAACATGGCTCATCAAGCTCAAAATACTTTTCAAATCCAAGAGCCATTGGTACCGAAGAACAACTTAGTTGGAATCTGATGAACTGATATATTAGCATTGTCAGTGTAAATTCAGGATGATGGGAGCAGCTGTTTTGAAGTCCGCATGGAATTAAAAGCCACCGAAGAAATGACTAATTGAGTGGGACATGCAAAAAATAAATTAGAAATAAAAAAAATGGCAGGATGGTACTTAACATTCCTCTAAATATCTAATATTTAGATATTCACCTGTTGTATGGCAATATTCTATGAAAGGAACGGGATACACTCATTTCATAAACCTTGTGTTTCTCTTTAAACATGCCATTTTCTTCTTATGAACAGGCAAGGTCACCTTTCTCGTTTTTCTCCTCCTGGTTTGGTCGGAACATTGGGAAGAGATTTGCATTAGTTCAAGCAACTACACATCATCATGCATCTCAACAGGCAAAGCCAGAGGCTGAAAGGGACTATCACATCATTCCACATCTAGGTGAAGGGTAGTGGAGGAGCACATGTGTCTCATGCAAAAAAGTTGCAGTTTTGACCTCTGGCGTCTCAGGTACAACTATGAAAGACTAGTATAAAAGACAGGAAAGCTGTTGCCAGTCAGTGTAATTAATACTAAGCTAGATGGACCAATGGTTTGGCTTGGCAGGTTCAAATGGTCCACATGGACAATGGCTCCCAGGTACGACAACTCACTGCTCTCCCCTCTCTCTTGCAGCATCAGTGTACAATATTGTTGGAAATAATACTCCACCCCTAAGTTGGCTATGGGTATGTTCTTTTTTTCCTTTTTATGTGCTGCCCTCTCAGGCAACTGCTTGTTTTCTGAGCTGTGCCCGCGGCCTATGTTTTTGACAACAGCTTATGCAATGTCATTCTGAACTCCCTTCTATTCAAAATGTTTGCAGTTCAAGAACGAACATGAAAAACTTCAGGAAAACAAAACTGCTTTTGACATTTCCATGGCTTTTTTTTAAAAAAAACACAAATGCTGCTTTAGCTTGAATAAATACGTATTAAAATAAAACATTTCATTCCAGCAGGAAATATACAAGTTGCAGGGCTGAAGGTTATAATAAATACGTTACCTCTGACAAACATCAACAAAGAGCTCAATTTCTCTTTTTAACTCCAGTGAAAGAAATCTGTTGCAACATTCACTAAATGGATTCTCTTAAAACTTGGAATTAAGCTAGAAAATGCTATTTTACAATTCATAGTGAATAAAAAAAAACTTAATGAAATTAGTCAAATTGCCAAAGTCAAAATTATATGTCAAAAGTCTTCCTGAAGCCTTGAAATATCTCTTTTATTCCCAACCATTTTTTAAAAAATATCTCTGGTGACATTATTCAATTAGCAGTCTCGAGCCTTAATTATTCCTTTAAAATAATTTTAATATCATTTGCATTTCAGCAGAAATTCTCACATACTTATACTAATGCTGGGCAATGATGAAGTGAAAGAAATTCTCACATAGAGACACTCTTCATATTCAACATAATTATTGGGAAATATATTCATCATAGAAAAGATAAAATGCTGCTATTTGCTAAGGGATAAGGAAATATAGGAAGCTGCCTTGCAGCTAGTCCATCCAGCCTATTTTGTCTACAGTCACTGGTAGAAACTCTCCAGTATATCTGACAGAGGTCTTTTTCCCAGTCCTACCTAGAGATGCCTGGATTCAGCCTGGAGACTTTGGCATGCAAACATGTGATCCACTGCTGCCCAATAGCATTGGAAGTAATCAACTAAGGCAGATTAACCATATAAGAAATTTCCATACACATTACTTGACTGGAGAACCACAACACAAAATCATAGAAGGGCTGATTTCAAAGGAACACTGTGTTTCAGTTCTCCAAAGTGTGGTTTGGGTATATTCACCTTTAAATATGAACTGAATCTAATTTTCCCCCTCATTGTAAGTGCCTGCTTAGTCTGTTGCCCAGATGTTAACTGCTGATGGGCAACTTCAGGAAGTCTGCTCTCACTTCGTAGGGCTATTTATCTTTGAAGTGGGCTTGGATGGGACAGCTCTTTGATAAGAAACACCTCCTAATAGAGGATTTCACTATGACAGCTGCTCAAATAGAGAACGCCACTATAAAGTGAAAGCATGGGGACTGTTTAGCCATGAAGTGGTGCACAATGAGGAACACACGTTCTGCTGCCAACTGTGCCTGATAAAGTGGGTGAAAGTAGACAGGAGGCAGATAATGGGGGCTAGAAATGTGAATTTAAATAAAAACGCACAGGGAACAAAACGATTGCCTGGGGCAAAACACAGAGTGGCTGGGGCAACCCAGCTAGATGGGCAGCTAAGAAGAAGAAGAAGAAGAAGATGAAGAAGAAGAAGAAGAAGAAGAAGAAGAAGAAGAAGAAGTTGTTCCCATGATAGGCCCCTGGAGTGAGGTAAAAATCCAACTAATATTTTGAGGCAGAGCTGCCCATAGTTGGAAGGAATCAAATGTGTTAATTCATGCTTCTTGCTTTCCTGGATCTGTAAAAAACATCTAGGGCAGATAACCTTTTCCTGACCCATTTTCCTTGGGAGGAAAAAGTAATGGATATATATGTGTGTGTATTTTGTGCTTTTTCTCTTGTAATTTTATGATGTGAAGCACCCTGAGACCCTCAGATGAAGGGTGAACCCATGACCTGACCAAGGCCATCTACGCCCAGAACTGGTCT